TTCATGTCCCCGCTGCTCCACTTCTGATCCAGTTCTCTGCTGATGGTGGGAAGCAGCAGCAGAAGATGGCCAAAGTGCTTGGGCCCCTGCACCCACGTCTGAAGACCTGGAGGAAGCTCCTGGCTGCTGGCTTCAGATCGGCTCAGCTCCAGCCATTGCAGCCATTTGGGGAATGAACCAGCAGTTGGAAGATCTGTCTCTCTCTCTCCTTCTCTCTGTAACTCTGCCTCTCAAATAAATCTTTTAAAAAGTCACTTTAAAAAAAAAAAGACAGTAATATTTAAGATCCCAACTTTGTGTAGGCCTAAACTAATGTTTTCATGTCTTAGTTGTGAACAGACTTAAAAACTGAATTTTTAATTCTAAAAATAGAATAAAGCCTATAGACTAAAAATACTAAGAATATTTCTGTGGAGCTATGCAATGTGTTTGTGTTTCAAGCTATATACTATTATGAAGGTTAAAATTTATAACGTGAAAAATTATAGGTTAAATACCACTAAGTTTGTTTTGTTTTGTTTTGTTTTGTTTTTTGGACAGGCAGGGTTAGACAGTGAGTGAGAGAGAAAAGTCTTCCTTTTTCCATTGGTTCACCCCCTCAAGTGGCCGCTACAGCCAGTGTGTTGTGGCCAGCACACTGCGCCGATCTGAAGCCAGGAGCCAGGTGCTTCCTCCTGGTCTCCCATGGGGTGCAGGGCCCAAGCACTTGGGCCATCCTCCACTGCACTACCGGGCCTCAGCAGAGAGCTGGACTGGAAGAGGGGCAACCGGGACAGAATCCGGCGCCCCGACCGGCACTAGAACCTGGTGTGCTGGCGCCGCAGGCAGAGGATTAGCCTAGTGAGTCGCGGTGCCGGCCACCACTAAGATATTTTATTTAACTTTGCGTTAAACTGTTACAACTGCCTACAGTATTCACTATAGTAACATGTGTGTAGCCTAGAAGTTAAGTTTATGCCAGGGCATAGTAGTAGGCTATACCATGTAAGTTTGGGTAAGTACAGTCTATAATGTTCACACAAAAAAAGGAATTACCTAATGGCATTTGACTTTATTTACAACTGTTATATCCTCTTTATGAAGTGACAACTTTGTGATATGGCTTCCTTTTTTCTCATTATGGTTTTTGACACAAAGTCTACTTTGTCTGAAAGAAGTATAGCAGCCATATCCTCTTCTGGTTCCATTTACAAAGAGTAGCTTTTTCATCCCTTAACTTTCAGTCTACTCTTATTGGCAGCACAGCTGTCTGGTTTTCTGTGAGGAATCATCTACTCTGCCTTTGGATAGGTAAATATCATACATTCACATTTTAAAAACTTAAAAGATCCTGGGGCCGGTGCTGGGATGCAGTGGGTTAATCCTCAGCCTGTGGTGCCAGCATCCCATATGGGCACCGGTTCTAGTCCCGGCTGCTCCTCTTCTGTTCCAGCTCTCTGCTGTGGGCCTGGGAAAGCAGTAGATGTCCCAAGTGCTTGGGCCCCTGCACCCATGTGGGAGACCTGGAGGAAGATCTGGCTCCTGGCTTCAGATCAGCTCAGCTCTGGCCGTTGCAGCCATTTGGGGAGTGATCCAGCAGATGGAAGACCTCTCTCTCTCGCTCCCTCTCTGTAACTCTGCCTTTCAAATAAATCAATCAATCTTAAAAAAAATAAAAACTTAGAAGATCACACCATGACTAATTGGGGTTATCACTGGAATACAAGGATAGTTTATACAACATTATTAGAGATTAAATTTAGCATTTAGTTCAACGGTTTTGAGCATCTCTCAAGAGACATTGTTCCCTTCGCTCAAATATCTCACATATTAAGAGTGATTTTTAAAGAAAAAAATTTGAGGGGGAAGAGTGCTATCACCTACCCACTGGTTCACTCCCCCTTGTTCCCACAATGGCTGGAACTGGACCAGGTCAAATCCTGAAACTCAACCCAGTCCTCCCGCATAGATGGTAGGAACCCAGCTATTTGAGCCGTCACTGATGTTTCCCAGGGTCTGTGTTAACAGGAAGCTCAAGTAGGAATGGGAGCCAGCTACTGAACCCAGTACTTTAACATGGGATGCAGGCATCGTAACTACTAGGCTAAACGCCCACCCTGTGCTGATTTATACTGTGAAATGCCCAATCTTCTCTAAATGTGGAAAATAAAAAATGTCCATTGTTAATTTTACTAGAGGCAAGCCATCTGTTAACCAAAACATATCCTAACAAAGTACTGCCCCTTTAAGACACATTTCCCATTCTGAAGTAAAACACAAAAACAAAAGTAAGGGTCTACACAATACAAAAGGATAAATACATTCAAATTATATAGCTTATTTGTATTTGTATTTATATATTATATACTTTTTAAAATAAAGCAGAGGAGGGGCCGGCACTATGGCACAGCGCATTAACACCCTGGCCTGAAGCACCAGCATCCCATATGGGTGCCGGTTCTAGTACCGGCTGTTCCTCTTCCAATCCAGCTCTCTGCTATGGCCTGGGAAAGCAGTGGAAGATGGCCCAAGTCCTTGGGCTCCTGCACCCACGTGAGACCCCGAAAGAAGCTCCTGGCTTCGGATCAGCGCAGCTCCAGCTGTTGGTGGCCATCTGGGGAGTGAACCAGCAGATGGAATACCTCTCCCTGTCTCTACCTCTCTCTGTAACTCTTTCAAATAAATAAATCTTTTTAAAAACAAAATGAATCTTAGTGATGAATGGGATGGGAGAGGGAGTAGGAGGTGGGATGGGAGTGGGGGTGGGAGGGTGGGTATGGGGGGGAAGAACCAATATATTCCAAAAGCTGTACCTATGAAATTTATACTTATTAAATAAAAGCTTTCTAAAAAATAAAAATAAAAAGATAACAAGTGTTGGTGACAATGGTGGAGGAACAATGCTTGTACACTGTTGGTGAGACTATAAATTGGCACAGTTATTATGAAGAAAGTATAAAAGTTACTCATAAATTAAAAATAGGATCCAACAAACCTACTTCTGGGTATACAAGACTTCAAAAAGTTCTGGGAAAATGGAACTAACGGCTTATTTAAGAGCAACATATTAAAATCCATTGAGTCTCTTCACAATACATATTTCCCATGAACTTTTTTGCAGTCTCATGGTATATGCAAGGAAATAAATTCACTATCTGAAGAAATATGTACTCCTATGTTCTGTACCTATAGGTTATGAAAACTGTTACTCAAGGATGTATGGAAAAATAAAATGTGTGTGTCTATGTGTGTGTGCATATATATATATTTACCTTAAAAAGAGATGCGGTTAGCACTGCAGTTAAGGCACTGCTTAAGATGCTCACATTCCATATTGCAGTGGCTGGGTTCACGTTCCAGCTCTGCCCGCAATTCCAGTCTCTAGGAAGCAACAGGTGAGCAGTAGGCTCAAATACTTGATCCCTGCAACACATATGGAATCTTTAAAAAGCCCAACTTACAGAAACAGAATAGTGGCTACTACAGACTGGGGGAGGGGGAAATCTAAGAAAATGGGAGATATTGGCACCAGCGCTGTGGCGTAGCAGGTAAAGCCACCACCTGCAGTGCTGGCATCCCGTATGGGTACCAGTTCGAGTCCCAGCTGCTCCCTCTCCCATCTAGCTCTCTGCTATGGCCTAGGAAAGCAGTATAAGATGGCCCAAGTCCTTGGGCCCCTGCACCTACATGGGAAATCCAGAAGAAGCTCCAGGTTCCTGGCTTGGTTAGGTGCAGCGGCAGCTGTTGCAGCTAATTGAGAAGTGAACCAGCTGACAGAAGACCTCTCTCCGTGTAACTCTGACTTTAAATAAATAAATAACTCTTTAAAAAAATGGGAGATACTGCTCAAAGGTACAATTTTTCAGTTATGTATAGCCTGGTCCTTATAACATATTCTATACTTGGAATTCAAAATAGTAGAAAGTACCCGGTCGGGGCGCCGGATTCTGTCCCGGTTGCCCCTCTTCCAGGCCAGCTCTCTGCTGTGGCCAGGGAATGCAGTGGAGGATGGCCCAAGTACTTGGGCCCTACACCCCATGGGAGACCAGGATAAGTACCTGGCTCCTGCCATCGGATCAGCGCGGTGCGCCGGCGCAGCACGCCAGTCGCGGCAGCCATTGGAGGGTGAACCAATGGCAAAGGAAGACCTTTCTCTCTGTCTCTCTCACTGTCCACTCTGCCTGTCAAAAAAGAAATAGTAGAAAATGTTCTCACCATATGGCAAATAAAAGGTAACTACATGAGGTAACTAATGTATTAATCAGTGTGACTGTGTTAATAATTCCACAATATTTACATATATCATACCTTGAGTTATACATCCTAAATATATACGAGTTTTTAATTATACCTCAAGACATTTTAAGATTCCTTAAGAAGGAATCTTAAGGAAGTTTGGTTTAAAACTTCATAAGAAATTGTTTTCTTCTCAAAAAAATTATACCTCAAAAAAGATATAATCACTTAAGAAATTGAACATTTATAATTAAAATAATAAAAATATACACATACTTAGACAAATGAAATATTCAAAATCCATCTACAGGATCACCTAGAAAGCCATGTTTCTGTCAACATGCAGATTTCAGAAATCACAGGTGAGTATCAAAATACACAGCTGAACTGCAACTTTTCCATATTTTATGCCAATCATTTTTCTCTATTGGAAATTTTTAGCAAGACCCTCATGAAACAGTAAAGCTTTTCAGTATTGCCTATACTACACAGCTTCAAGGCATGTTCTTACATGCTGGATGGTGTGGAAATTCCAGTGGCTCTCAGTATCTATGTGAGTTTTTTAATATACTGGAAATAAACAGGGACAACTGAATGCTTTCACAAATTGCTTATATTGATAAGGTTTTCCAACACTGAATTCAAATGAGATTATAAATAAGGACTTCCTAAAAAAAATCTTCCTGATTCCTTATATTGAAAAGGTTTCTCTCCAGTGGTATTTTTTTACGTTCGGTAAATTCAGAACTAGTGATGACCATTCCGCGTTCATAGGACTTCTCTCCAGTGTGTTCGTAAGTGTTTAGTAAGGCGTGAGCGCTCAGTGAAAGCCTTCCCACACTCTTTACACGCATAGGGCTTCTCTCCAGTGTGAGTTCGCATGTGACTGCAAAGACTGGAGGAATACCGAAATGCTTTCCCACACATCTTACACTCAAAGGGCTTTTCCCCAGTGTGAGTTCTCAAGTGGACATTAAGAGATGAGGAAGCCACAAAGGCCTTCCCACACTGGTCACATTCAAAGGGCTTCTCTCCTGTGTGACTTCTTTCATGCTCAATAAGGTGTGAGGACGTAGTGAAGGCCTTCCCACACTCCTTACACTCGTAGGGTCTCTCCCCAGTGTGAGTGAGCACATGTGTAGTAAAGCCCGTTCGCCCGGCGAAGGCTTTCCCACACTCCTTACACTGATAAGGCTTAACTCCAGTGTGAATTCGAAAGTGCTTCTTAAGGCATGAGGAATTTCTAAACGATTTTGCACATACTTGACATTCAAAAGGCTTCTCACCAGTGTGAGTTTTTATATGTTCAGTTAGTTGAGGAAAGGTAGTGAAGGCTTTCCCACATTCCTTACATTTGTAGGGCCTCTCTCCAGTGTGTGTTCGTGAGTGTGCATTAAGGCATGATCGCTCCGTGAACGCTTTCCCACAGTCCTTGCATTCATAGGGTTTTTCTCCAGTGTGAATTCGCACATGCCTGTGAAGGTAGGAGGAACGTGTGAAGGCTTTCCCACACACCGCACACTCAAAGGGCTTCTCTCCAGTGTGGGTTCGCAAATGTGCAATGAGATATGAAGAAGAAGCAAACGCTTTCCCACACTGCTCACATTCAAAGGGCTTCTCTCTCAGGTGACTTCTCATGTGTTCAATAAGGCCCGAGGATGTAGTGAAGGCTTTCCCACACTCCTTACACTCGTAGGGTCTCTCCCCAGTGTGAGTGAGCACATGTGTAGTAAAGCCCGTTCGTCCAGCGAAGGCTTTCCCACACTCCTTACATTGATAGGGCTTAACTCCAGTATGAATTCGAAAATGTTTCTTAAGGCATGAGGAATTCCTAAAGGATTTTGTGCATACATCACATACAAAAGGCTTCTCACCAGTGTGAGTTTTCATATGTTCAGCGAGTTGACGAAAACTCGTGAAGGCCTTTCCACATTCCTTACATTCATAGGGCTTCTCTCCAGTGTGTGTTCGTAAGTGTATATTAAGGCCGGAGCGCACGGTGAACGCTTTCCCACACTCTTTACACTGATAGGGTTTTTCTCCGGTGTGAGTTCGCGTGTGAATGCGAAGGTAGGAGGAACGCGTGAATCCTTTCCCACACATCTTACACTCAAAGGGCTTCTCTCCAGTGTGAGTTCTCAAATGTGCAGTGAGATAGGAGGAAGAGGCAAAGGCCTTCCCACACTCATCACACTGAAAGGGCTTCTCACCTGTGTGACTTCTCATATGTTCAGCGAGGCCTGAGGACTTCCCAAAGGCTTTCCCACATTCCTTGCATTCATACGACTTCTCCCCAGCTTGATTTTGAATATGCACAGTTTGACCTGAGGGCACAGTGAAAGCTTTCCCATCTTCCTTCCAATCACAGGATTTCTCTCTAGTATGATTTTGCATATTATTACTATACAAAGGATATGTGAATAATTTTCCACATTCCTTATTTTTGTAGGGTTTTCTTACAATGTGTGTTTGAATGTGTACAACGTGGCTTATGGGCTGAGTAGAAGTTTTCCCATATCGTTCCCAATTGGAGAGTTTTCCTTCACTGTGGTTTCTTCCGAGAGTCTGAAGGTATGACTGACTGACATTGGTTTGGCTGTAGCCACTGTTCCGAAAGACTCTGTCTTGCGGGCATTCTCTCTGTTGGACATCTGCAGTCAGGCTGAAGGATTTTTCACATTGAATTAATTCCGAAAGTGTGTCTCCTATGGAGACTGTCCTGGGCAGAAGAAAGTCTTTTCCATACTGATTAGATTCAGAAGTATTCTCTGTATTTTGAGTATCTGTGTGTAGCTCAAAGTCATCACTGGAGGCTTTGCTACACTGGTTATATTCATGGAGTTCCCCTCCGTTGCGACTTCTTGCCTGTTGATAAAGAAATGAATGGTGTTTAAAGGCTTTTTCAGATTTAAGGGAATACTAGTGAGAATGCAGGAGCACTAAGCTCACCCCAGGTTTGGGGTTTCTCTCCACAGACATTGCTCCCTCTTGGGCGAAAGCTACTTCTTGCAAGCATCTCACATTTCTACTGATTTCTATCATGGAAATCCCAATCTTATCTGAATTTAGAAACTAATCTTACCAGTTGTATCTCATTTGAAGTATCTGACCAAAAAATATCCTGAAGAGCTGTCCCTTTGGTATTAAGGTCCATTACCCACTCTGAAGTGAAACAAAAAACATATATAAGGGTTTGTATAAAGTAAAAGGTTAAATAAGTTAAAATGTTAAAAGCTCATTTATATAATTCATATTAAACATAAGAAAATAAAAGACAGATTTGAGAAGTCCAAGAAGGCCATGTCTAAAATTCAGCAATGTTAAGGGGTTGGGGCAAACTTTAGAAATTAAGTAACTGCTTTTTTCCTAGAAAATTAAACATGACAGTAACAGAAATAGTATTATGAGGGAAGAAAAGCAGGAAATATCTGCACAAAGAAAACCATAACTCAAAGAAGTAAAGAGCAGATTGTGAGATCACAGGAAAGTCTAGATCAAGTAATAGACTATGAGAAGTCAAAGATATCCCAAAACTCACTGGCTAATGGCCTCAGCCTTCAGATCCCAGATCCCAAATGCTTTTCCTTTTTTTTTTTTTTTTTAAGTTGCCTCATGCTTCCAAACACACTGAACTTCTCAATGACCAAAAATGTTTTTCATAAACTCTTACCTTGATGAACACATTGTTCCACTTCCTCTTCCAACCAAGAAATAAGGCTGGGTTTGAACAGCTGATATCCTGTACACAGGAAAAGGCACCTCAGTGGAAGAGGCTCATGCAAGGTATGACAAAGCTCCTCATGAAAAAATAACTGTATTTCTTAGGAAAGCATTAATTCCTTCTAAAGATCTCAAAATGCAAATATCACTTCTTTCAGTATCCCACAGACACCGGCCATGTTTAATGCCTGAAGTCCATATTCAGGTTTAAATAGATATTTAAAAACTACTAAGACTTTTCTTCAAGTAGGAATAATGGAATCAGAGAAAGATATTCTCATGGGAAACTCTAACAGCATTGGAGTTTTGTGGTTTTTTTTTTTTTTTTTTTTTAACTTGAAAGGCACAATGTTATACAGAGAGAGAGAGAGAGCGAGCGAGCTTCCATTCACTGGTTCACTCCTCAAAAGGCTGCAACAGCCAGTGCTGCACCAGGCTGAAGCCAGGAGAATGGAACTCCATCCAGGTCTCCCATGTGGGTAACAGGGACCAAGTACTTGGGCCATTTTCCACTGCTATCCCAAGTGCATTAGCAGGGAGCTGCACTGGAAGCAAAGTAGTCAGGACACGGGATGCCGGCGTCACAGGCAGTGGCCTAAGCTGCTGCATCACAATACCGGCCCGAGTGGTTGTCATCTTTACTGTGAATCAGATTCATGTGGAGGAACTAATGAGACATAGATGACAGAGGTGCAACTAGAGGTCTTCTGATTCAATGTGTCAAAGGTGGAGTCTCACAATGTACATTTTTAATTCAATCATGCCATTTGATCCTGAGACCAAATCAGGTGGAAAAGTATCACCAAAGATTAAATTGTATTAACACAAGACCTATGTCTCTGCTATTTCCCATTATACTCAGAGTTGACATCATCAATCTTCAAAACACAGCAAGTATATAATGTATTTCTGTTCCCAAAGAGACGATGAGGAATGATAACAGTTTTACCAACTATGGCCAGGTTTTTGTAGTTCTCCACCATCACATCTCTATAGAGGTTTCTCTGAGTTGAATCTAATAAAGTCCACTCCTCATGGGTGAAGTCCACAGCCACATCATCAAAGGTTACCAAGTCCTAAACCATCATAAACACACTGGTTTGAGACAAGTAACATCTCCATCAATGTTAACTACACAATGAGCAAGTGAGACCAATGCTTATAAAGGTTCTAAGGTCTCTCATTATCTACCCCAGGGTTCAACAGTCCTAAGAAGGCTTCTTTTCATACACATTCAATATACACAATTCAAATAAATAAGCCAATCATCTCTAATGCTAAGGCTTCAATGGCACTTCTTATATGTGACCTTATCTCACAATGACTAGCCTGGGAGCTCGTCTTGTCTCACTGTTCTAAACTGTAGCACACACTCCTGAACATATTACAAACACTTGATGAACACTGATATATGAATGAATTCTTCAAGTAAAGGAGTTTCATCTTCCCTAGTATCTGTCAGAGTGCCAATATATATATATTTATATATATATATATATAATTGGCATCAGGATAGTTAAAATTAACATACTTACTAAAAGTCTGAGATACATTTCAGCATAATCATTCACCAATGTGAGAAGCAAGATATTCTGGGGAAATTTAATCAGGGACTCAGTCTTGGCATGGATTCTAAGTCAGTATTTGTTCTAGCGAGCAAAGAAGACAAGTATAGCTACAAGGAAATATGTCCTCCTAATTGATCCAATTATGCCATTTTTTGGAAGAACATAAATTTCACACTAAGTCTGAATATACCTACATCCATCATGATCAGATTATGTGTTCAGACACATTGCTCTCTCCTATGTGAATCTATTTCTCTCAAGTATCTTTCTTCCATGCTGATTTTCTGTTTTTTAAATTTTTCATTATTTTTTTTAAGTTTTATTTAAATTACACAAGTTTCATGTATTTCATATATACAGATCTAGGAACAGTGATATATCCCACCCATGCTCCAACTTGTCTTCTTCCTCCCTCTCTCATTCCCACTCTTAATTTTTATAGAGATCTACTTTCAATTTACTTAGTGATCATAAAGTTAACCCTACACTAAGTAAAAGAGTTCAAATAGCATGAAGAGAAAAAAACAAAACAAACAAAAAACAAAAACAAAAACACTGTTCAACAGAAAACAAGGGCTGTAAACAATCACTGAATCTCAAAATGTCCATTTCACTCCAATATATCACACTTAGGGTACTGTATTAGTCACCTCAGATCAAGGAAAACACATGATATCTGTCTTTTTGGGACTGGCTTATTTCATTAAGTATAATGGTTTCTAATTGCGTCCATCTTGTTGCAAAAGACAGGATTTCATTTTCTTTTACATATGTGGATTTTCCCTTTTTTTCCATTTCATCCCTTTACTGAGCACTCATTAATTATAATAATTAAATATAATTATTAATTATATTGCAAGTAATGCACATATAAATAATTATGATGCAGTTCCTGCCTTTACAGAAAGCACAGTTTAGCAGTGATGACAGGGGTAAAATGTGGCATACAATACTGGATGTATGAAAGACATATGCTGATTATCTATATCAGAATACCAAGTCTCCTCTGAATATGGAAAATAAGAAATATCCCGTGTTGAGCTTACCATTTCTAACCCATCAGAGGAATACTCTTTCAACAAATTCTGCTCAAGTGCTGAACCTTGAGTTTGCAGCTGCATTTCCCATTCTGAAATTAAACACAAAACAAACTTAAGTTTGAAAAAAAACCAGATTAAAAGTGTTAAAAATAGTAAGTCTCTTCATATTTGTTTTCAAAATAAACATGGTAAAAAAGAAACCAAATACTGAAGATTTAGATTTGGTCAAAAATTTGGTCATCTTAAGGATCAGAGATCAAAAATTTGGATAATTTGTTATAAATTTATTCACTGAAAATTAAAACTGAGGCCAGTGTTGTGGCACAGTGAGTAAAGCTGCCACCTGTGACACCGACATCCCACACGGGCACAGTTCATGTCCTGGCTGCTCCACTTCGGATCCTGCTCCCTACTAATGGAATGGGAAAGCAGTGGAAGACGGTCAAAGTGTTCCTGTGGGAGACCCAGATGAAGTTCCCAGCTCCCAGCTTCAGCCTGGCCCAGCCCTGGCCATTGCAGTCATCTGGGAAATGAACTAGTACATGGAAGATCTCTGTGTGTGTGTCTTCCAGTCTCTCTCTCCATAACTCTAACTTTCAATAAGTAAGTAAGTAAGAAAATTAAAACTGATAGATAATCAAGAGTATTATCAGGGAAGAATGGTAAATAGCTGAACAAAGAACATACATCAAAATAATGAACTTGAGGGGCTGGCGCCATGGCTCACTTGGTTAATCCTCTGCCTGTGGCGCCGGCATCCCATATAGGCACCAGATTCTAGTCCCAGTTGCTCCTCTTCCAGGACAGCTCTCTGCTGTGGCTCGGGAGTGCAGTGGAGGATGGCCCAAGTGCTTGGGCCCTGCACCCACATGGGAGACCAGGAGGAAGCACCTGGCTCCTGGCTTCAGATCGGCATGGCGCACCAGCCAAAAGGAAGGAAGGAAGACCTTTCTCTCTGTCTCTCTCTCACCCTAACTCTGCCTGTCAAATTAAAATAATAATAATAATGAACTTGAAAAAGAACAATGTCATTTTACAACATTACAGGAAGTTGGGACAGAACTTAGAGTATGGGAACTTCTAACTTCTGAGGCAAATTACGTCAATCTTCTCAGATGAAGTACATCTGAGTAGTTTCCTCATTATGCCTCTGAACACTCAAATTCTTGCTAATCAGGGTTGCTCTTCACAAACACTCAACTTGAAGAACTCCTCTCTGCACAGTTCCCATCTCTTGTGCTTGTTCCAACCAAGAGATCAGACTGGGTTTCATAAGCTGGCATCCTGTACATGGGGAAAAATAAGTTAATGCAGGAGACTAAAAGAGGAGATGATAGACATTCCTGTGCTTCAAGTCTAACAAAAGCAGAGAAACTATTTCAAAAGAACTAAAAATGTAAATACCAACTCACTCTGTACAAAGTGGTTATCCATGACCCCTGAAAAACAAATTCATGCTTACAAACACACTGACAAGGGGCCAGCACTGAGGCGTAGCGGGTAAGGCAGCCGCCTGCAGTGCCAGCGACCCATATGAGTGCCAGTTCTAGTCCCAGCTACTCCAGTTCCGATCCAGCTCTCTGCTATGGCCTGGGAAAGCAGTGGAAGATGGCCCAAGTGCTTGGGCCCCTGCACTCGCGTGGGAGATCTGGAAGAAGCTCCTGGCTCCTGGCTTTGGATTGACACAGCTCTGGCCATTGTGGCCAAATGGAGAGTGAAACAGCAGATGGAAAATCTCTCTCTCTCTCTCTCTCTCTCTCTCTCTCTCGCCACCTCTCCTCTCTCTGTGTAACTTTCTTCCAAATAAATAAATCTTTAAAAAAAAAAAAACACTGACAAAGCACAAAAATTGTAGTCAAGCAGGAAATAAATAAGTCAACCAAGAAGAACTCTGTTATCATGGAGAACTATATCAGAAATCCCTAAAAATTACAATGCACAACATTCAGGGGAAGGGATTTTCAGAACATAGTAGACAGAGTCTTAGGTGGAAAGTATCTGGGGCCGGCGCTGTGGCACAGTGAGTTAACACCCTGGCCTGAAGCACCGGCATCCCACATGAGCACCGGTTCTAGTCCCAGGTACTCCTTTCAATCCAGCTCTCTGTTATGGCCTGGAAAAACAGTGGAGGTTGGCCCAAGTCCTTCAGCCCCTGCACCCACGTGGGAGACCCGGAAGAAGTTCCTGGCTCCTGACTTCAGATCGGCTCAGCTCTGGCCGTTGCAGCCATCTGGCGAGTGAACCATCCGATGGAAGACCTCTCCCTCTCTCTCTGCCTCTACCTCTCATTGTAACTCTTTCAAATAAATAAAATAAAATATTTTTTAAAAAGTATCTGATACAATAAGTCAAGGGCAGAGATGAAAAATGAATATTTCTGAGCAATAACAGTGACTCTGTTGACTTCGCAAAACAGTTAAGAAGCACCAAGGTGATTAAAACATTATTAGGTCGGCCGGCGCTGTGGTTCACCAGGCTAATCCTCCGCCTGTGGCGCCAGCACTCCGGGTTCTAGTCCCGGTTGCTCCTCTTCCAGTCCAGCTCTCTGCTGTGGCCCGGGAAGGCAGTGGAGGATGGCCCAAGTGCTTGGGCCCTGCACCCGCATGGGAGACCAGGAGGATGCACCTGGCTCCTGGCTTTGGATCGGTGCAGTGCGCCAGCCGTAATGACTATTTGGTGGGTGAACCAATGCAAAAGGAAGACCTTTCTCTCTGTCTCTCTCCCTCTCACTGTCTAACTCTGCCTGTCAAAAAAAAAAAAAAATTATTAGGACACAGACCGTGTTTATTTCTCATGTTGTTCCAAGATGGAAATACAAATTACAAATCCTAGGACAGAGTAAATAAATAATGCTATTTATAAATAATCTGTTCCCTAAGATGCTGAAAGGCATGATGGTAGTCTTACCAGCTGTAGCCAGGCTTTCACAGTTCTCCAGCATCATATCTTTGTATGTATTTCTCTGATCTGATTCCAATAAAGGCAACTCTTCCTGGGTTATGTCCATAACCACATCATTAAAGGTCACAGAGTCCTAAATCACATATACACAGCTTGAGCAGTGTAACACCTCTACCACATGCACAGGAAAATGAGGACAGACAACACCATGCCTATATAGAAAGGTAGATTTTCTTACTGCCTAAGCCAGGGTTCAAGGGCCCTAGGGATTCTTCTCTGTAACCATACACATTCACTATTTCTTAACTCCAGTCATACAGCTTTAACGGCATATCTCAAATATGAACTGTGTCACCACAACCAGAAAGGGAGGTCTTTCTTGTCTTACTACCCTCTATCAAATTAAACTTCTCAGGCAAGCCTAGCAATTAAGACACTGGTTGTGACAACTGCATCATAATCAGAATGCCTAGGTAAGAGTCCTGCTCCATTCCAGATTCCAACTTCCTACTAATGCACCCTAGTGGGCTGCAGGTGATGATGGCTCGAGTGGTTGGACTCCTATCACCCCTGTGGGAGATGTGAATAGAGTTCTCAGCTCCTACTTCAGCCTGGCCCAGCCCTGGCTACTGTGGACATTTAGGGAGTGAACCAGCAGATGTGAGCTCTTGCTGTCTGCTTGTTTCCAACTCTCAAATAAGTAAATCACACACTCAGAAAAATGGATACAAAACAATGAGGGTAAAGAATAATTAGTAATTACTGAAACAGATGGTGGTCAAGGCATTCTTTCTTTTTTCAAAGGAGGAGCTGGGAAGCACTCATCCATTTTTTTTTTTTTTAAGATTTTTTTTACATATTTGAAAGGCAGAGTTACAGAGAGGCAGAGAGAGGCAGAGAGAGAGAGATCTTTCATCTGCTGGTTCACTCCTCAGATGGCCACAATGGCTGGAGCTGCGCCAATCCAAAGCCTGGAGCCAGGGCCTCTGCTGGGTCTCCCACGAGGCAGCAGGGGCCCAAGAACTTGGGCCATCTTCTACTTCTTTCTCAGGCCATAGCAGCGAGCTGGATCAGAAGTGGAGCAGCCAAGATTCCTACTGGCGCCCCTATGGGATACTGGCACTGCAGGCGGCAGCTTTACCCGCTACAACACAGCACCGGCCGCAAGGCATTCTTTCACCAATATGCGATGCTTCACTTCATAGAGAAATTCAACTAGGGTCTCTCTCAGTTCTTAAATGAGGCTTTATTTGCTTTACAAAGCTCTGAAGACAACTTTGCCTAGAAAGAGTCGTGTATACCTAGTAGATGCAAATATATCCGCTCATAGAAATTCTTCATATCTGATAATTTACCAGGCAGTCAATCATGTGGTTATACCTCTGACTTTTCTTCATGAACACAGATTAGAACCCTAGAAGGCAAATATCCTAGCGCAGACAAAAAGGCATGAGAACCCAAAACTGGCCATAATCCCATATTAACATGCCTAGAAGGCATCCCACCCTGGTTTGAAATTATCAAATAATCCAACACATTCACAGAAACTCACAAACATACTATAAAGATACAACACTACTGTAGTTTTATGTCAATCAGAGCTAAAAAACAAAGGGGGGGGGGGTTGCAAGCACAATGCCCATTAGGAAAATATAACAGCCCCAATTTACAGATAATAAGAGTTAAGCCCTGGGCCAGCACCGCGGCTCACAAGGCTAATCCTCCGCCTTGCGGCGTCGGCACACCAGGTTCTAGTCCCGGTCGGGGTGCCGGATTCTGTCCCGGTTGCCCCTCTTCCAGGCCAGCTCTCTGCTGTGGCCAGGGAGTGCAGTGGAGGATGGCCCAAGTGCTGGGCCCTGCACCCCATGGGAGACCAGCAGAAGCACCTGGCTCCTGCCTTCGGATCAGCGCGGTGCACCGGCTGCGGCAGCCATTGGAGGGTGAACCAACAGCAAAGGAAGACCTTTCTCTCTGTCTCTCTCACTGTCCACTCTGCCTGTCAAAAAAATAAATACAAAAAATAAATAAAAAATCAAAAAAAAAAAAAAGAGTTAAGCCCTGAAAAACATTGACCCAGAAATTACATTATGCAGTACTACTTCCAGAAGCAGACACATGAAGGAGCTCACTTATAGAACTGCCCTCTCTGGTCCATTTTAACATCTCAGAAATGTTATTATAACGGCCC